TCCTGCCAGCCACTCGCCTGGCAGAGTGAGACAGCAGGGAGCGTTCCAGCTCAGGCAGGGCGGGGGCGAGAGGGCACCCACGGGACCTGCACAGTGCCTCCCGACTGGGCACGCCCGGGGTTGACAGTTCCCCGGGGCTGAGAGGCCAAGTGAGCACGTCACCCTTCAAGCCTGCAGTGCCCCATGCACGCAGTGGGTCAGGGCGTGGGTTAGATGAGACACAGGTACAAGTCTCGGCTCAGCCACCCACTGGCTGGAGGGCCTGGGACAAGGCAAGGTGCTCGCCCCACTGGGTCTCCCTTTTTTCTCCGCGTGACCAGATACTGCTTGTACCCACCCCACAGAGTTTGTCAGGAGAAATACAAATAAGCTAACACACAGAGAGCGCTGTGCAGAGTCCGGCACCCTGTCAGAGCTCAAGAAACGGTGGCTGCTACCATCACTGCTCAGGAAGAAGCTACCCAAGCAAGGGCAGGGCCAAGATACCCTGCAGCCTCCAGGGGACATGAGGCAAGGCTCGAGCAGGCCCTGCAAGCCCGTGCCCACAGCCCTCTGCTCCTAGTCCTGAGTACACCTGGCTTCCCTCTGTCCTCTCCCCCAAGGCCAGCTCTGTCCTCCCTGAGGGCCCCGGCTTCTGGCATGAAGGGCTCCTTCACCCCACACTCACTTCCAGCACCTGAGGGCGGTGCTGCTTAAGCCCCTGCCAGACGCAGGCACTGCCTGAGTCTCTTCCCCTCACACTGACCGCAGACAGTCCCGCTGGGGGCCGAAGGAAAAGCAGCTTTGAGTCTAGCTGAGAGATGCAAGTGGCTCACAGAAAACAGCTTCCCAGGTAAATTCCTTCGCAGTGGACTGGGCTGGGAGGCGGGGTGTCTTGTCTCCTGAGGGATGCCTAGAATGGCCTCTGGGTGTCAGGTGTGTGTCAGGCAGGAGGGCAGCACACAGAACTGTCACGGACTTTCCCCCTCTGATTCTCTGGGCCAACCGTCCCAGGTCTCTGAGACTCGGAGACCGAGCAGCTCACAGGGTCTGAGGAAAGGCCTCTTTTATCAGGATGGGCTGAAGAACAGGGGCTCGGTCTGGCAGGACCTCTGGGAGGGGCGAGGGCTGTCTTGCCTTAGATGGTTAACAGCATTCTGGATACCTCACAGGGAGCTCTAGTGTAATATCTCTCTCTCTCTCTCTCTCTCTCTCTCTCTCTCTCTCTCTCTCTCACACACACACACACACACACACACACACACGACTAAGCCAAGTGGGCTAGGCTGGCGAGGTGGGGCAGGGGGACCAGGCAAGCAGGCAGCTCCTGTGGGAGAGGCACAGGTCACCCTCAGAGGCAGTCCCAGCTGCCCGCAGACTCAGCTGCCCTAAGAAGCTCAGGCCTGGCACCCAGGGCTGTGGGTGGCTGAGTCAGCAGGGAGGCTCTGAAGGGGACCAGGGCCTGGACCTGACTCAGCAGTCCTCAGCGGCCAGAGCCCAGGGGTTTAAGTAGGGCAGCACTGGCAGAGTATCTGGAACCAGAGAGAAGGACGCAGGGAGGCAGTGGAGGCAGGTGCAGGAGGAGGAGGCAGCCCACATCTCCCCTTCGGAGAGGAGGAAGGAGCATGGCAGAGAAAGGGGCGCAAGCTCTGATGCCTCAGTGCAAACCTCCGTCACACCACCTCCCACCTGGGAGGTTAGGCCTAAGGCGAGTCCCTTGAGCATCCTGAGCCTCCTAACTGGGGCTAGTACTCGCCTCCTTGCAGCCAGGTTGGGAGGATTGAATGCCTGACACACATCAGGTCCTCAGTCTGCAGCAGCTACACTTCGCGGAGTAGCCACACGGGCAGGAAACCACCAAGGAATAAGGAAGACCTGCCTGGGGCCAGGCACCAGGGTCAGACTCTGCTCAGTGTCTGGGAGGGAAGATGGGAGACTCAGAGAAGGCTTCTTTCCTTCACTGTGGCGTCCATGGGCGTGAGAGGCCACTCTCCAGGCTCACTCAAAGGTGGAGGACCCCGGCAGGCAGAGCCAGTCACTGAATTGGCTGGGGATATCCCCAGAGCAGCTGTCCCAGCCACACCCCTGCACAGAGTTGTCCCTGGCGGTGTGGCACTGGTGCAGGGCACGGCTGAGGCTTCAGGGTAGCAGCCCATGGTGGACTGGGACAGCTGTGCGGCCAGAAGTCCAGCCAGATGTCCAGCCAGACCAGGAGCTCCTGAGGGAGGGGCCGGGCTGACCCCTCCAGGCTGGGATGCACACTGACCCTCTGGAGCTGCACGCACAGACGAGGAGGGCTGGGGATGGCTCACCTGGGCGAGCACTGCCATAAACCTTTTCAGGGCCACCAGGCGCTGCCCCTCCAGGACAGAAAACTTGCCCACTTCGACCCGCAGGATGTAGTGCAGTGCAGATTCCAGGTCGGCCATGTAGATCTTGGAGCTGGGGACCCAGAAGGAGGCAGAGAAAGGGGCATTAACCACGGGCAGCCTGGGGAGGCACGGTCAGGGCTAAGGGGAGAGACGAGAACGGTCACGGCGGACAGACCCAGAGTCCCGTAAGCTGCCAGGAACTAGCTGTGTGACCTCGGTGTATTACTTAACTTCCTTGAGCCTCAGTTCCTCATCTGCTAGGACGGGGATAATAATAAATTGCTCACAGGTAGGTAGCTGAGAGGATTAAACACAAGCACAAATGTAAACCCCTCAGCAGCTCCTGGCATAGAGCAGGGGTTCCCACTCTGCAGGCCCAGGGCCAGCCCGTGACTCACTCAACGTGCTTTCACCAGGCCACTAGTGGAAGGCGGAGCTTCATTCTCCGTTCTGAGCAAAGACCCCTGGGGACAGACAAACAGACCGACAGGTGTACCCACACCACATGGCTCTGGGAAAGCTGGGCCCTTTTTGAGAGACCGAGCGAGGGTTTGGCTGCCCACCAAGCTGGGCATGGCGGGGCCGGGCAACGGGGTAAGTGGTAAGTGTATTTATTTGGGGGCTGATGTCCTCACAGCTACCAGACCTCAGGTGTTGAGCGAGGCTCCATCTCACATCTCCTGGGCTGACCCAGCTCCAGGGGAAGGGCTGCAGGCTCCCAGCTGGCTGCTCTACCCCGTGCCCGAACACTCGCCTGGGGTCTAGACTCAGGGCTCTCGAGGGCTGGTTGCTTCTCTAGCCACCTCCTGAGACCGGGGCTCTGGCCTCGGCTCCACAGGGAGCCAGGCCACCTCCGTCTACCTTCGAGGCCTCAGGGACATCCCCTGTAAAGTGGACTGATGACTCCGGCCCCACCACCCTCCTGAGGTTGTAGGAGGCCAACGAGGTCAGCTAAAGAGGTGGGCACTGTGACCGCCTGGCCAAGTCCTCTCTCTGCTCCACTGTGGTATGCCTGGGCCTCAGTTTACCTCTCCATTCTGGTGTTCTGCCTGAAGGAGTGGCCTCAGGACTGAGAGAGAGAATGTATGGAAGGTACCCACCCAGCACACAGTCTGGCACAGTAAGCGTCAGCTATTATAATAATCTGAGGGATCTGAATAATCATAATGACCATTTTAGTTTCTCTTCCCTTCTCCCTGGGATTTCCTAAAAATCTCTCCACGAGCACTTAAAGTTCCCCACGCCGGGATGCAATTTCCTTCCGGCAATTCCTTCTGAAAACCAGACGACCTTTCCCCCAATTTTCTTGTGCAGCCCTGGTGGAGGCTGCCTTCTGATGCGGCTCTGAGCTCCCTGGTCAGCTAATTCCACTTGGTATGAGGTGGAGTGTGGCCTTGTCTCCCCACCCCAAAAAGCAGGAATTCTACCACAGGAGCCTCGGAGCCTCAGAGAGAAGAGCAGCTTTCTCAAGTTTACAAAAGTGTATAAAGGTACAGACTACCTCAAACAGTAGTGAGCTCCCCGACAGCAGAGGCATTCAAATGAGGTTGGGTACCTTCCTAGAGGGGATGCGATGAAGGGGCTGTAAGCCTTGTGTGGGTGGGGACTCCATCTGCCCTGTACAGTCTGTGGTCACAGTGCCTAGGACTTAGCAGGCACTCAAAACCATTTGCTGAAGAAATCGCTGCTTGCATGGGAAACTGGCTTAGAGGCCACAGATTCTACTTGTTTTTGAAGAGTTAAGCTTAAGGAATGTGGGCCTTGGAAAGTATTTGTTCCATCACGAAGGACAAAGTGAATGCTGTTCACAACCCCCGCCCCAGTCAGCAGACACTGGGGAGGCTGCCAGCGGACTGCCACGCATCCAGGGCCCTCCTGGGCCCCCAAAGGCCAAGGCCAGCCCTCAGCGTGTCCGGGCGCGGGGCGGCATGCGCTCAGCCCAGCCCGTGACAAGGAACAGAGTGTGGTCTGAAGGGGGTGTCTGCGAGCCGAGCGAAGGCTGCGGTGGGGAAGGGATGAGGAGAATCCGGCGGGCCTCACCGATCTGCAACTTTCCACACGGTGGGAGCGACCGTGTTAGCGGTGGTTTGTGGGACCGTGGTCTGGACAGCCTCCCGGGTGTTCCCAGAGAACCTCTGCAGGTAAGCCGTGTAGAAGGACCTGGACTCCACAAGCCTGTGAGGGAGGAGAGCCATGCAGGGAGGCCGTGAGTGCGGAACAACAAAACCCCAGTTAGCTCAGCGGCGGTGGCAGGGGGTTCATCTGACAGAGCTTGGTCTGATCTTATCCTCAGCGAGGTCAAAATCGGGGCACCCAGGCTTCACTTTAACCTTTCCATTCACTGCTCACGCTGTGGAAAGCCTCTGCGACACCAGTGTGATGTCAAAATCCCAGCTGGAAAAGCAGCTGGCCTGCCCTGCAGAGGCTATGGGACAGAGCACCTCTGGGGTTCTGCCCAGGGACAGGATGGCTGGGTCTGACAACTCTCCCCAGAGACCAAGGGGGCAAAGTGACGGCTGACCTCGAGGAAGCCGCCCGCTCACAAGCTTGCTCTGAGGTACCAGAGGTGACATTATTCCCCAAGGAAATCCTACATCAAGGAGTTGATATACGATTTTTCAAAAAATAGCAACAACAAAAAACGATTAAATTCTCAAGTCCTTTTACAATCCGTTCGGTTTCGTTCCCTCTCCGGACAGAGAGGAGTCCTCAAGGACTCATCTCCTGGTCAGGGGCCCGGGAAGGGAGGGACACGAGGACCAGCAGTGGCGTGATGGGCCCCCCGGGGAGCTGGCACTGGGAAGCATGGCTTTCTCCTCCGCTGTCCTGGCCAGATGTTCATCGATGAACAGATGGCTCGGAAGCAACATCGTCACAAACAATTTTCCCCTCCACCAACTCCAAGTGAGGAAACCATGCCGCCTCCCCGGCCAGGGCTGGCACTCTCTGGGCCTGTGCAGAGAGTGACTCCCTCCTGTCCCCTTGCAGCCATCCTGCTTCCCTCCCCCAGCAGAACCCTGACGAAGCCTGGCCCAGCGCTACCCGGTGACCGGCCCAGCCTCAGCTCAGCGCGGGACGGCACGAAAGGCCCTACGGGGCAGCTCGCTGGGCACCGCGGGCAAGTCTGGGCCTCCCTGGCCCTCGCGCCCCTGCCTGCAGGGCCAGGCTGACATCCATCATCTATCTGCCCAGGGAGGGCACCGAGGCACCATCTGGCACCGTTTAACAGGCCATTCAGCAGCGGGAGCCTGACAGTGGGGCTGTGGATGGCCTGATTGTTTTCTCTTGGCATTTTGGAACTGGCTATTGTCGGGCTCCTAATGAACTTTTCTGCAATTAGAAAACCAAAGGGAGGGAGGGTCAGGCATCTCTGGGTGCGTGCCAGGCCTGCAGCCTGCCAACAAGTCTGTCCACGAACAGAGGGAGCATAGGCGGCTGGGGACGAAGGCCAGGGCTGTGGCGGGGAGGGCGCAGAAGCGCCAGCGCTGGGTGAGCCAGGGACCCGAGGCGGGACTCCTGAGCTGGGGGCAGCATCCCGTTCCGGTCTCCCGGCTTCTGGAGGTACAGACACAGTCCCACACCGCACAGGCACACGTGTGCTTCTCCTGCAGAGGGTGCTGCTCGCCTGCCCAGGGACTCCTCAGGGGACTCACGGGAGAAAGGACTCGGCAGCCGCTGTGAAAGGCTGGCAGCCTCTCTAGGCAGGAAGAAAAGCTGAGCACAGGGAGGGAGGAGGAGGGCAGAGGGACACCACACTTACACGGGGACCCGGGAGATGGAGCCGTTCCGAAACAGCAGGTAGCACGATGGGAAGTTGGTGACACCGAACTTGCTCACCACGTCTGCCTCCGTGTTCAGGACCCTGCGCACGGCGATGCCTCGACGCTGGGACAAGTCCAGAGTCACCTGCAGAGACAGCAGACATCTGGGGGCCAAGCCACCGGGCAGAGGGAGCCCTGAGAAAACACCTGGGCAGCATCTATTGTGATGAGTGAGAGTCTCGCGTCACCAATCGTGTCTACCCCACAGGTAACAAGAGGCAAACCCCGCCTTAGAGCTGGGGCCTCGGAACTGGGCCCACCACACGTCTCGAATCTTCCAGGACAGTTTAAATTTAACGCGATTTTCTTTCCAATGAAAGCAAATTTGTAAAAGGTATAATAAAATGTGGGTTCATCTTTATTCTTATATTTATAAGGCTTTTCTATCTATATTCCAAATCAGAAAAACACGCTAAGTCAGACATGACTTTATTTTTAGAAAGAACTAGGAAGGGGAAAAAGATGTTAGCAAGCGTTTACTGAGTTTGCATTGTGTGCTGTAGACAGATTGCTTCATTCATCTTCAAAATAACACTATGAAGCAGGAACTATCTTTAGCAGACTGGGCGAGGAGGGGCAGAGCAGTAGAGGCCCGCCGGCCTACACCTCTCCCTGGCCTGTTTTCCTTACTTGCAAAATTATAATAATAACATTAACAACCTAAGAGGGCTGAATGGGTTAATTTTTTTCAAGGCTTAGAACGATGACTTGCAAATAGTAGGCATGTAAGTGTTCATTTCAAAAGCAAAACTTCTGTTGTAGATGAAGAAACTGAGGCTTAGAAGTGAAATTGTGTGTCCAGGTCACCCGGCTGGCAAGCGTCTGCGCTGGGCTATACAAATCCCAGTTCAGCTCTTGGCCACTGTGCCCTCCTGGCCCTCAGACTAACCATCCCCGAGCACCTGTGCATGGACAGAGCCCATGGGAGTCCCTGTTCACTCAGGTACTTGGGGCAGAGGCAGGTGGGGAGGGAGAAGAGCTGATTCCAATGAACTTCTATGGGACAGGCCTGACCCCAAGCCTGGACTGGGACTCCGGAAGGGAAAGGCACAGAGCTCTGTGCTCCGTCTCACGAGAGGCCTGGAGACCGTGCGTGCGCAGCTCTCGACTGTGCTTGATGAGTTTCAGGAGGAAAACCACGCAGAGCCAACAGCGGTGTTTGATTTTCTCCTCGCTCTCCTGCCTCGCCTAACCCCCTGCACTGCCTGGAACTTCTCCCAGGCACTGGCTCGTCCCTCTTCCGCATCCAGGAAAGGCCCACACGTGGTCTGGAGAAGTCCATGAGCCAGTGGTGGAACAGTCAGCTCTCTCCATTAGGCCAGGGGAATGGATCTTGATAAAGCACCCACTCTGTGCCAGCTACTAATCCAGGCCCCCTGCCTAAATCATCTCCTTTAACTTTCTCGACGATACTCTGAAGAAAGGTAATTACCACTTTATAGACAGGGAAATGAAGCTCAGCAAAGTTGAGTAACTTGATCAGGACATATCACGTAAGTGATGGAGTGGAAATTCAAACCAGGATGGTTCTGTTAGCTGTCTCACGTGGTAAGGGGCCCCATTTCCTCGGGAGAGACTGGATGATCTCTGATGTCTCCTCCCTCCCATTTCGTTTTTATTCCCATTCCAAGGGGTTGGAGTGGGGGGCAGTGTGGGCTCTGGAGGCAGACAGACCTGGTTCAAAGCCCTGCTCTATGAAGCCACTGGCTGTGTGATCTCAGACATGTCATACGATCGTCTTCATTAATTGTGAAGATTAGCATCTATGCACATCGGCAATCTAATCCAATGCTCCATAAACAGCAGATGTAACAATATTTGGTTTCAATGAGGGGGATAAAAACAGTCACAGGACAATGATATAAAACATAGTCAGTAGTGGTATGTTAACTTTTGTATGGTGACAGATGGTAACTAGACTCATTGTGGTAATCATTTCACAATGTATACAAATGTCAAATCACTGCTGCGTACCTGAAATTAATATGGTCTGTCAATTATACTTCATTTAAAAAAAAAATATGCAAAGATTTTTAAATGGAAAGGTCCAGCTCCTACACGTCTCGATTCTCCCAGCAGGGGTCATGTCAGTGCACGTGGCCGAGACCCTGGAATTCTGGGAGCAGCCCTGCTCCTCAGCTCACTGGGTTTTCTCTCAAGGGCGACGCAGCAGTTGCAGAGACCCCAAGGGCAGCTCACCTCTCTGCCCAGGTAGGAGCCTTCCTTCTCAAAGATCAGGGCCAGGTACTCGTCATTGTTTCTTGCAAAGAACCCATCAATCTCCTCCAGCCTGTAAGAGACAACGCTGGCAGTCACTCTCTACGGTTGGTGACAATGAAGCAAAACAGTGGGTGACATCAGACGTGGCGGACGCGGTACTGCGAGTGTGTCCACACGAACCTCCTGTGCTTCCACACGAGGCTTCATGGAAGTCGCCCCCTCCTGCCACCGAGAGGGGGAGGAAACCCAACCCTTAGTCTCAAAGGACGATGCCCCGTGGCTAACTCTGGTTCTTCATCTCACCCACCTGGCTGATTCGCTCGTTCACTCCATTTAAGAGTGAGGAGTGCGCGGAAGGTGGTCTGGGGAGGGGGACAGGGAGGGGACCCTTTGAGACCGGCTGTCTCTATGTTCTGGGTGAGGACCAGGCTTAGTGAATATGGACTTAATTGGTCCCTAAGAGACTGGCAGTTAGTACCCACCAGATACAAGCCTGGATCTGCGGCAAGTCACTCCCGATTGGGAGATTAAGCAGAACAAGTGAATTAAAGAACCAGAAAGTCATGAGTGCAGGAGACCTGAGAAACGGTCTCATCCAATCTCCTTATTTCAAGATGAGAAAACTGAGGCCCAGAGCTTAAGTGGCAAATTTTATTATTCCCCCCAAATCAGAGAATTAAGCTACCGATTGTTTTCATATCTCAAAATTTCAACAGAAAATAGCTACGTAATATAAAAAATGATTTGTCTCCTTTTCCTAACTCAAAGCAAAACACCATGACACATACTTAAGAGGCTAGCAGGTGACATGGCATCAGGGGACTATGACTTCCTTTTATCCCCAATCTGATGGCCTAGTTCCCTCGGCTGGGTCCAGTGATGTGGCAGTGATCACGTCTAAACAGAAGGCACACATGGAGCCAGCACTGGAGCCCAGCCCAGGGACAGCACAAAGGACATGCTAGAGGCGGTGGCCTGAGGATGAAAAGGGATGTACACTCTGACCCCAACCTCTCCAGCACATCCGTTGGTGCTGTTACTAGGCTGGGCTCTAGCACTGGCCCCCTGAGGGGCACACAGACTGAAAACTGACCTTATAAATCCAACTCACAATGACTCTTACTGTTCTTTCTAATTCTCCATCCTCCGGAGGTCCTCCCTGAGCCCCCGGACTGGGCACGTAGTCTTGGTGTGGCTTGGGGTTCCACAACCAGACCCAAGAAACAGGTGCCCTGCTCCTTATTTCGTCCCTTCCTTAATGACCATGTCCCTGCCTCTCGTTTTCTCACATCCCTCAAGGTGCAATTTTAGCACCCCTTTTTCCTAGAAAAGAGGCAACCGTGGAAGCCCGGGAGGAGGAGACACCGGCCACCGTGCCTGACTCTGCAGCAGAGAGAGCAGAATCATATCCCCCAGCCCCTAGTCACAGCCATTGCTCAGGAAGACGACCTCCCTCATTCATGGAGACGGGGCTTAACTCTTCTCATCCCCCAAACCCTTTTCCTCTAAATAGTACCCAATCTCCCTTTCCCTCCCCATGCCCTCTCCCCCAGTGGTCCTTCCTGGGTTAGATCATGTGAAATTCTGCTGTATCCCCAAACGTTCCTGGGGACAGGTGTGAGAAGCAGCAGCAGGCATGACCTGGAGAACGCCTGCCCCTTTCCCTTCCCACCTGGCTGGAAAGATCCTTGCACCTGTCAGTCAGCCCCAAGAAGACAGGGCTCCCAGGTAGGCCCTCCGGCACCAGGAAGCCCTCCGGCCCGCGGAGATGGCTGCTCCAGAGGGAACAGGAAGAACCAGCCTGGGTCCTCTTCCCTGCTGTCCCCACCACCTTCTTGCTTCCAAGCCTGTGATTCTGGCCACCTTGCACCAAGCCTGCCCCAATCCCCAGTACCTGGCAGGCTCCAGTGGGGGACAGGCAGGGGGCCACGTGACACTGTGGGACTCCAGCGCGTTAATGAGCCTCTCCCGCAGCGTCTGCACGTCAGCACCAGCCACTGTGAATGCAGACAGACGGGGGGAGGGGCGTGAGGAGAGCCAGGGAAGGAATCCAGCATCCCCATCAGCTTCACTCACAGACAGAAAACGCCCAGGACCGCCAGTTCTGAGAGAAACGGGGCATGGCCAGCCCTCTGTACTGGAGGAGTGGGGTGGGGGCTACTCACAGCCCTGAGCTATGCCAGGGGGACAGGAAAGACTCCCTCAGACCTGGGCCTGTGAGGGCGCTCCCCAGGGGCTGTCTGGCCTGCCCCTCTGGACACTAAGCCCACTCTGATGTGAAGGGCTAGTCCGGGAACATGGCAACCCTCCCCCGTCCCGGGACCCCGGACAGGCTAAAATGGAAGGGCCTGTCAGCCTGGGTTTCCTGAAGGCATCGGCTTTCAGTTGGAGAAGTCATCACTGGACCCTGCTGGGCTTTCGGCCCTGCAGAAACCCAGGTAAGAGAGAGAGGCAGGGAGAAGATGACATTGACGTCACCAACGCCCACAGCACGACACGAGCCAGGACACTCACCTGGCACTGTTGTTCCCGAGCCGGTCTTGGTAAAGGCCTTAAAGAACTGGAAGCAAACACACGGGCAAGAGTCAGTGACGGGTGGAGCCCAGAGCACGGTGCCGGACGAAGCTGCGTTTCAGACCCAGCGGCTTAAATGGGGCGACTCTGGGCTAATCGCTTAACTTTCGTGAGTCTTCATTTCTTCACGTGTAAGATCAAAACAGGGAGGTTTGGCTCTTGGAGCTGGACACTGATTCCTTTCCCCACTGTCTTCGCGTCTAATCCCTAATCCCACAGCTCTGAGGCGCCCAGAGAAGCTGCAGGCGGCAGCCTGGACACCTTACTGGAGGCGGACTTCCTACAAAGCACCAGAACCCAGCACGTAAAGACTGGGAAATTTTTATTGTGTGAATGAACATGAAGACCACTGCTGTTTTCCTTAGGGATCCATCTGGAAATATCAAGTGAAGTCACTTCGTACACCCCAGGGAAAGGTTAGCCACCCTCGGAGGCAGTCTGTCCTTGTTCCTTATCTTGGAGAAGGGGCTTGAAGGCTGCTGTCCCTGTCCACTGGGAATGGCCAGCCTGGCTCAGCAGAGGCTCTGGGTAGGGATGGGCTCCGGTTCGGTCCTACTGAAATGTGGCCCAGAGCCTCTGAAAACGCAAGTCTTGTTACAGACTGTCCAGTTTAACGCACAGCTTCGCTCTTTTCCCATTTACATGACACCCCAGGCCCAGTCTGTCACTCCCTGGGCAAGAGGACAGAGAGAACGGAGGATGACTCCTTAGAATCTGGGCTTCTAAGTGGAGAGAGAGCTGCCAGGACTCAGGAGGGGACAGAGTTCAGTTGTCCTGACGGACAGCCACTCAGCTGCCCGGGGAAGAGCCTGCAGGCTAGGAAGTGGCCTCTTCCTGAGGTCCCTAACCTCAGGGCCACTTGTATCTACCTTTGACCTCTGCCTCCAACAGCATTTGGCCTTATCCCAGGCTGGTGGTGGAGTGCGGGCCTCGGGGTCTGCAAGACCAGGGTTCGTGGCCCAGCTCTGCCATGCCTTGGCTGTGTGACCTTGGGCAGTCATTAACCTCTCCGAACCTTCTCATCTTTAACACATTTGGAATTAATAAAATCGTGTCCACCTAACACTTGCAAAACGATCACAAATGTCCCGGACTGTGTGACATGAGATCAAGTAGGTAAAGCACATGAAGGCATTTATGGACTGACTGTTTCTCAGAAACAAAATTTAAAAATACACCTATAAGGGGTTTGGTGTGCTCACAAATAACAACCCGGAGGCTGATTGTTACAACGGCGGTCACCCTCGGAGATGGCGCCCCTGCTTCCGTAGACAGGACACACCTCGACTCACACAGGACACACCTCGACTCCTTTCCATTAGCATGAGACACGCCTGAAACCATGTGACCTTCCCATGCTTACAGCTGTCATTTGCAGTTACTGAAAAGTAACACAGTAACTTTTCTTCCTCAGCCTTCAGGATGGCCAGGTACTTATTAAAGAGGCAGGCATCACCTCCATCAAAAGGCAGCCCCAATTATCATGCTGTATCCCCTGAAGCTTATGTACTATTACATACCCAGGTTACCTCAATAAAAAAAGAGAGAAAGGCCGCCTCCCCAGACCCCAGCTGCAGGCAGCGTTGACTCGGGTGGGAGCCTCAGTCAGCGAGAGTGAACTTGCCACCCGCCCTCCTTCCCACCTTCCTGACTGGGAGGCCAGGCCGATAGCTCGTTCATCCCTGCCAGTCCCACGGCGCCTGGCCCAGTGTCTAGGACACAGAAGTACTCAAAAGACATCTGCTCGGTTAGACTGAGAATCTCTGCCCTTTGATCATCTTGGAAGCTCATGTAAAAATCACAGTAAAATCGAGTCGAGGTACATTTTTGTCCTCTCGTTAAAACACATCCTCATTAAGTCAGCTGTGGGAGGCGCGTACCCCACCCAAGGGGAACCACCACCAGGCCTAGGGAATGGGCAGTGAGTTTTCTCTTCTCCAGAGGCAGTCAGCACCCGGTCCGTTTTGTCACTTTACACAAGAGCTTCTGCCTTCCCCAGGTTTGCAACCCCTGCAAGACCTCCCCATCTCCCCAAAGGCAGGAGACCAGCGGGCAGGTCTTTATGGACCTAACCAGGAGCAGCTGCCTTCCGGGGGCCAAGTGAGGCTGAGCGGAACGCACACTCAGCGATGATCTATGGCACTGAATCCAACCTTTTAAAACAACTTTTAAGGAAACTGATCCAGTCTCCAAATACCTTGTGGTGAGCCCGTGGGGACCCACAGGCTTAACCATTCTGACGCGTGGACCCTCGGCGGAGATGGCTGGGAGAGCAGCTGGGGGGGCCCGCCCATTTCCAGGGAGGTGCTGGAGACGCCCTTCTGAGCCGTCTCCCTCCCGTACATGTACATCTCACTCTCTAGTAATGGCCCGACTCTGTACCCCACAGGGTGTCACCCTCCCAGGCTGGAATTCAAGGACCTGCCACTACTGGGCTCCCTTCTTCTGAGCCCAGCCTCAACCCTGCACTTGACCCTCTGCTCCAGCCAGACCAGTCCTCCCAGCACACCACAGCCCTTCCCACACAGGGCCTCTGCTCCCACCTCCTCCCCTGCCCGCACGCCTCTCCCCTTCGACACCACGCAGAAGTCCCCTCCTACAGGAAATCCTCTCTGATGCACGAGCCCAGCAAACCTCCCAGCCTTCACTGCCGACAGACTTCTCACCGCCTGTCGACTAGCTGAGGAGCTCTGAGTGTCCTTACGGACAGGACAGGGCTTTCGTGCCTGGCCTCTCACGCTTCTGGCCAGGTCGTGCACCCGGCAAACACTCACTCGACAGCTGCTGATGAGTGGACTGCCTCAAGTGCAGTGCCCAGAGGGGCGACCATGAGCCCCAGGGCCAGTGGGAAGGAAGACAACTAACATTTAGTGACCATTTTCACACGTAAGACCGCATTTCACACCTGGCAGCAATCCTACTGGGTAGAGATTATTATTCCGCTTTTACAGACAGGGAAACTGAGGCCTGTGGCTGAGGCATTGTTAAGAGACTTTCCAAGTCACACACAACAAGCAGGGGGGCCAGGATTTGAACCCATGTCATTTATCGCCTCAGCATCCTCCCCACTTCCCCCTAATGGTGCTGATTCCTGTCATCTTGATCCCATCCAGGCCTTTGGATCCTGGTCCATTTCCCACTGAGGGGCACCCCTGTGGCCCACGGCAAAGCCCTTCCCCCAGAAGTCCCAGCCTCTGCGCGCCAAGCACCACCCAGAACCTGCTGCACACTGGTCCCTGCCCTGCGCTTTTGTTTCCTCCCAGCTGGGCTCCAGTTCCCGTCTGATGAGGACCTGACACAGCTGGCTCGCCCTGCAGAGCCAGGCGTTTGCTAAACAGGCTGGGCTGGTGGAGGCTCACTGTTTCCTCATGGTGACAAAGGGCAGGAGGCGGAGGAAAGGGACAATGACATGTGCCACTGGGGGTGGCCAGACTCTCGTGTGGGCCTGTCCCCATCACACCTGCAACACTCTCTCTTCCCCCTGTTCAACACGTGACCTTCTCTCAATGCTCTCACGGCCTTTATGGGCAGGAGCGAGGACAGGCTCCAGGCCCCAGGTGGCAGCAGACAGGCAACGGGGCTCTGTCTGGCAGCCAGGCCGGCCTCTAGGATCTGCTCTGCTTTCTAGGGCGTCCGGCCACGCTGCCCACGGGCACCCCCGGCTCTCCACGGGCTGGAATCTCTGCACATCTCGAACCTGAGTAGTGTTCTCCAAACACCAGAAGCAACCTAGTAGTAAGTCATAAAATCCGTTTAGTGACTCACAGCTAATATTTTTCTTATGAATAGAAGAGAAAATATCAGTATGTACGGCACTTAGGAAGAATATTGTTTTATGGAGCTTTTGTTTTAGGGATAACGGATACAAACCAACTTCTGGATCTCACTGTAGATGTGCGCGCCTTACTGTAGGTCATACGAACAGGGTTTGGAAGCCTCCGCGTCAGGCCTCAGAGCAGAGACCCCGCAAGAGCTTGAACCACGAGTTCCCTGGACGTGAGTCCCCAAGACAGGGCGCCGAGTGCTCTCCCTGCCCAAACTGGACTGCAGGCTCCTTGCGGGAGGCGGGAGGTCACGGCACTAATCTCTGGGGCTCTTAAGAAAGGGACAGATGACAATCGGCCTGGCCCAACCAAGTGCTGCCCACGCAGAGACTGGGGAAGGTCGAGACCAGCTCAGGGCCCTCCCGGGCCCTCCCACAGCCAGCTGGGCGCTCCGGGAGGTGATTAATCACTTGAGGCACTCGGGCTGCGTGTGCTGCGTGACCCAGGCAGGCACCGAGGAGCGTCTGTGTCCTGGCTGCCTGGGCCGCCTCCTTCACGCCCACGGAGCCCCAGCCTCTCCCCAGGCAGAAACAGAAAGCCCCAGGTGCCAGGCCCCATGGAAGCCTGCGGCATGTCCTGGCCGGCCACATACCAAGGCCAATCCCTGTCCCAGAGGCCAGCAGTGCAGCAGTGGCTAGAGCTCTGTGCTGAGTCCCCACTGGGAGAAACGTCAGCCTGCGAACTGGGACGGCTGCTGCCACACTGGGACCCTCACCACGGCTCAGCCCCACCCCCTCCCTGGAGAGTGATTCTAAATGTTTTCAGTTACATGTTTTGGGGCCGAGGATAGGGCAGCAGCCCTGCCAGGGAGGTCTTTTAACCTGAAAGGAATGACTGATAAGCAACCTCTCTGAGGCTCTTAAGAAATGGACAGATGATCAGCCTTGCCCAACCAGGGGCCGCCACCTCTAAAGGATGTGGCAGGAGGTGCTGGCTCACCACACTGTCCCCCAGCCAGCCTGGCTTCCACTGACCCTGGGGCCTGGGTCCGGGACCTCAGCCCAAGTAGAGAGGGGAGCACAGAAGGGCACGCTGAACCCAGCAGGGCAGCCTTGGGCAGGAAGAACGGAAAGGTCGCATGGAGTCAGAGCTGGATGCTGTTGGGGCTGGGGCCTGGCTTTCGGGGTGAATCCTCCTGGAGTAATTAGACTGATGGTTCTGCTTGGGACCTGAAGCCCCTAAGCTCAGAGATATTTTGCTCCGGAGACCATGCTTGGCCTTTTAGCTTCAAGGCATTTCCTGACCATTCTTCGTGGCTATGGAGGAACCTACTTTTCCAGATGCCATTCTGGTAAGGGGGGGCTAGTTATTTGGAGCTGGAGTTAGGAGCTGCCGATTCGAATGCTCAGCCTGTGCCCCGGGAGCACGCTAAGCAGAGCTGCGCGGCCTGGCCAGCCTGGGCTTCCCCGGCCTCCTATATGAGAGCCTGGAAGTTGTTCGGATGTTAATTCAGCTCTGGATAAGCCACGGGTGGGCAGGCTGGCAGGCGAGGCCTTTGCTGCTTCCAGCGAGGCTGGGGCGAAGGAGCCTTCCTTGCTGGGTGTGCCACCTCTCCGGACGTGACCGGGATCCCTGCCACCTGAGGCGGTGTGGCATTCCGACCATGGGGTGAGGCTGTCCTGACAGGTTGCTTCTGAGCTACTTGGGTTCCAGGCACTTGGTTGATGAGGACGAGACTTGCCAGTGTCTCTGGGGTCTTTTTCTGGGGGACTGTTGGGCCCCTGAGTCTGATCCTGCTGTGGGCAGGTCAGAGCCTGAACCCTGGTTTTACAAGGTTTAGATCAGACCATTAAGGCTGTCGGGAGGGAGAGGAATTGGGAAGAGGCACCTGAGAGCTGGGAGCTCTCACCAGCCCGGGTGACCGTCTATCTCTTCACAGCTGAAATCTGCCCATCGTGACAAATCCCCACACACCCCCTGCCCTCATAAAGGGGAGAACTTCCAGACGGAAGGAACCTCTTTCTTCTCTGCCTCCCAGTTCATGTCTCTTTCTGCCTCTGTCACAGGTGTGTCTCACCGAGCACAGGGACAGTGCTCCAGGGGCTGGGATCCAAATGGACGCAGCCCAAGAGCATGAGAGGAGCCCGCAGAGCTGGGCAGATCCCAGGGACTCCCGCGGCGGCGGCCCCGGCCCCCAGGCCCGCCCGCCCCTCCTGTCACGCACCCTCACGGTCGGGAAGCCGGGGATGTTGAAGTCTCTGCACACTGCACTGTTGGTCTCGTCAGCACAGTCCAGGGCAGCGAGATTCAGCGCCGGCCTCCAGTCTGAAAGGACAGAAAAACGGGGGTAAGGAAGAGGGGCTGGCACGTCTGCCTGTCCCCGCCCCCCTGCCATACCCCACCCCCACCGACTCCGCCGCAGCTCTTATGGAAAAGTCCCCCCTTCCTCAGAAAAGGACCTCTGACATAGCCTGGCTCGTCGGCCTTCAGTCGTGCTTAGGACACAGCTAAATAGCACAAGCAATGCTCAGAATGGCATCTGTGTTCCCTCTCGTTGTGGGGCGCGGGACTGGAGGGGCTGAAGAAAGGTGGGAGATGGCCTGGCCCTCCAAGGAAAAGCCCTGGTATCGCCTCTGTCCCTGCTGCCCTCTAGGGAGGATTGGTTCCGGAAGGGTGGAGAGCATGCCTCAGGAGGTGTGGAACCTCCCAGGGGACCCTCGGTGACAGTTTCTGCAGTCAGAGGTACTGGCGGTCAGCCCAGCTTGGGTGAGTGGGACATAAGGTGTCAGGGACCGGCTCCCCAGCCAGAGAGGGAGCCAGGAAATCCAGGGGCACCTGGAATCTAGTAGCCACAGGGGAAGAGCCCCAAGGCCAGGAAGGAAATGACAGCTCCCGACATCAGGCCCCAGGTTGCAAGTCCTCCCTGTGCTGTAACTTATTGGCAGAGAGAACAATGGCACCATTCTGGGCCGCAGCCCAGGATCGGGGAGATGGAAAACAAATTCATCTACCAGGCAGGCCTCCTGAGCTCTGATTCAAGGTCAAGGTGCCCCTTGAACATCCCCCAGAGTTCCATGTTACTATGAGGCTGCTCCATCTTGGAAGGCGCGATATACGACGTGAAACCACAGGACTGGTGAGGTGGCGATGGCCTGGTGCCATGTGGCACAGAGCACTGAAGGAGTCCGCATGCAAGAGAGCCCAGCCCGAGGGACGACGCGTGGGCCTGGCGGCAAAGGGGGAAACCGAGTGGACCCTTGACGGTCAGCCGAGTTGACAGGGCACTGCGTGAGCAACTCGAGGAGCGGAGAAGCAGCAGGCCTCAAGGGGCTGTGACAGAGGCCAGATGACCAGGGAGATCACCTGCTGGGAGGCAGGCAGGGCCAGTGTGAGCGCTCGCCTAGAGGGTCTGGGCTGATTCCCACAGCTCCCGGGAGCCACTGGCTTTTCTGGGCGCATGAGTGAAGGAAGAAGCCTGCCTGGCGGCATGCTTGCTCCACACAGCACCCTACACCTCTCATCCAGAGCACAGGATGGGGTGGGGGGCAGAGGGGCATTTAGCCCACCCAGCACCCATTAAGTACAGAATACTAATATCCGAATAACATCCCTGAGAATCGTGGCTTTGCCAGGACCTCTTACCTCCCCCCAAACCTGTTCCTTATGATGTCTGAAAAACCATTATTTCAGAAGGCGTCAGAGCTCCCCAAATCACTTTATGTCCGAGGAAGGAGTGGTACCCTCACTTCCACGAGGCAGATGCAGGAAGAGGCAGGACACCTCCTGGGCAACCCTCCCCCCCAACCCATCCCTCAAAGGCAAGGCTCAGACCAACTAAGCTGGTCCTTCCGGAGTGACACTAGGGAGGGGGCCTGGGACTGTGAGGCAGGCCTGAGGCACCACTCCCTCCTCCTGGTCCCTCCCCACCCCCTTCCACTCTCAGCACTGAAGCTTCTGGAAGCCTGGCAGGAAGGCGTGAGTGGGGTGAAGGAGGGCAGAAGAGGGGATAGGAAGTGGACCGAAGTGTTCAGCAGAGACGGGTGGGTCACATGCTAACATGCCATTTCCCCGACTTCCCCAAACCCCGTCTCACCCAATGCCTTTTGGGGAGCTCTCTGGACTCCCCTAGCACACGACGGCGGCAGTCTGAGTTTATCCAAATCCCTGCAGGCGGGCGTGCATCTTTTGGCTTTAAATTTCACTTGCAAAGCAGCCTGCTCGACCTGCGGCTGTGCTCAGGGTCTGCTCCGTGCCAGGTTCGGGACGGTGGCCCTCCTGCTCTCCTGTGCACTCTGCTCTACCCTGTCACCCGCAACCCCGGCGTGGGCACCACTTGGTAGGGGCGGAGTCGAGCAGCTCGCCCACACAGATCCACAATCCTGCCCACCCTCCCTCCCAAGTCTCCCCGCCCCCCATCCTAGGCTCCTTACTCACCTCACTTCTAACCTGCCTTCCACACCTAGTGAGCCTCCCTCACGGGCCCCCCAGCCACCAAGTGACCCTTCCTACCTGCGGCTGTGATTATGTCGGTCTCTACTCAATATTCTCTGGTGGCTCCCACTGCCTTGAGAAGAAAACCTACAGCCATGAGGCCATTCTCCATCTGGCCCCTGCCCGCCCACTCGGCCCCCTCTGCTGCAAGGAGGCTGAGGCTTTTCTCCTTCCCTGAAAGCACAGTGCTGGCTCTCGCACGTCTCCAGCCCACTCCCACGGCCACCCCTCCCTTCCCCCTAAGCCCCTACTTGTCAGGAGCAACTCGGTTTGAACGTGATTTTTCCACCCGGGAAAAGCTGCCTTACGAGCTCAAGACTCAGAGGTCTGCCTATGTCTCTACTCACAGTTACGAGTCTGTCCATCCCTGAATGCCTGTTCATTTTCGCATCCTCACTGCCTCGCTTCCCCATTATCCAGCACACCAGCAGGTGCTCAGTGACTACCGAATTATACCACCGACCCAGGCCGGGAGCTGGCCCTCAGCAGCTCCGGTTCTGGAACATCTACTCTCAGGCTCAGTGTATCCTCGGGTCCAGGTAGGGGGCGAGGTTGAGGCCAGTTGCCTGGGGACGCAAGAGAGAAGCCTTGCCCAGGTACAGGGCTTTGCCCTGGACCACAGGGAAGAGCACCCAGGCCTCCTTCCTGTGGCTCCTTCCCCAACCAAGCCAGGCCCAGGGGAGGGCAGGAAACACAGGTCACCCCCTACAGCCATCGGACACCCTCTAAGCTTGGCTCCTTCTGCTCTGTATCGGCTCTGGTCACTTTGTTCAGGGAGACGACAGGAGAGGCCCAGCTGCCCTCGGGAGTCAGTAAGTCATCCTTCCACCAGTGGTGGCCCCTGGCAAGGTGACCAAGGACCACAGGTGTCAACTGCTTGTCTCCTCTCTGAGAGCGTAGGCCACCACCTCTCCGGGCAGAGTCAGTGCCTGCTGCCCCCTGGGGAATACAGACTCTGAAGGAACAGGCAGGGGACAGAAGAAAAAGCCAGTGTTCAGTGAGCCATGGCACACTCTAGGTGACCACTGGAGGTGGGTGTCATTCCCCACAAACGAAGACAGGGACTGAGAGGCCTCCAAGATGTCCAAGACTCCCAGGCTCACCTCGCCGGTTAGGATGCTACCTCGGTATTTTATATTTGCTGCAATCACAACCTTCCCCATGAGGGAGAGGATGGCAGAAACAGCTGCGTCTTCCAGCTCCATGCCATTCTCTGTAACTCATAGCGGCCGGTATCGCAGACCCAGATCTCACTCAGCGAGGACGAACTCCATAGCCGGAGAGTTGACCGTGTGCCTCAGTGATCTAGCTTCCCCATTATCCAGCACACCAGCAGGTGCTCAGTGACTACCGAATTATACCATCGACCGAGGCTCGCAACTACCACCCCATAAGGAAAGCCAGGGACTCATCTCGAGATGAGCTTTCCTCCCCTGTAAAACAGATCAGAACACTGTACCCAAGGTGCGCAACCAATCGGTGGTGACATCTGAACCCAGAACCTGGGCCTCTCCGCTGGTCTCAAGGGGGCCCAGGACAGAACAAAGAGTCGCTCTGCTGGCTCCCCAACCAGGGACCTCAGGGAGGGTGGGGTGTTAGAAGTGGGGGACACGAGGAAAGGTGATGTCTGGGAATGCTCGGCCCCTGGCTCCTAGGAGGTCGTTCACTCCTTCTCTTTATTTATGCCAGGTTCCCTCCAAGAAACGGAGCCAGGGCCTCTTCCTATCCACCACAAGCCCAGCTGGAGGGAGAGGCTGGGGCCAGTCAGGTGCTGGAAGAGTCCCAGCTGAGGAATGCTTCTCAGGAATATCAATGTCAATACCTTAATGAGCCATAATGACATAAAGGTCTGGTTTGCACGAATCACTGCGGGCCTGACTATTCATCACTCGAGCAGCAGGACAGAAACAGAGAGGACCCTTATCTGGGTACTGCACCCCCGAGGCAAAGTGTGGGGCTGTCAGAACCGTGAGAGAGGCTTTCCGAAGTGTCAGGTGACATAAATAACGGACAGCAAAAGGGTCAGCGGTATCAGTCCAGCCAGGCTCTTGGCGAGAAAAACATTTCCTGCTGTAATTACTGCCCTGGCAAAGGAATTTCTCTACTCACAACAGAGTAAATGAGCAAATGGAGACGGGAAGGGTGGGGAGGTGAGTGTCCAGCACAGCTGCGGACTTGAGGGTGGTGGCTGAGGGGACGCCCTGGGGCGAGGGGGTGAGGGGCTACTCTGGGGTCCCAAGCAGTGCCCCTGCCCCCTCTCAGAAGTCCAAGAAGGGGCAGTGGGCCCAGAGGCACAGACTTGCTCACAGCTGGAACCCGCTGGAGCACCGTGAGCTCTGGGCTTCAGTTTCCTCATGGTCAAACGAGGGCCAGGATGGATGGTCTCTCACGTCCTCTGCAGCTCTGACAACTGTGCAAGTGCTAGATGGCACACTTGGCAAGAAAGATGGCCGCAAGGCCTCTGGGTGTAGAGCAAGTCTGGGCCTCTATTCAGGCAGAGGCCAGACCCTTCCAACCTAGCAAGTGCCAGTCAGGTAGAAGGGTCAGAACTAGGGTCCCCCCAGAGTCTCCGGGAACTGTCCTGATACAGGGAGTCAGACTTCGTCACCACCTTGTCCCTTCCTCCATGTTGCAGGCTTACGGGCACTGAGGTCATGAGATGGACAAAATACCTCCCCTATCCCTCACATCTGGCTGACACGCTAGGTCTGAGTCAAGAGGAGCCACAGCACCGGCAGAAGGCTCGGTCACGCACGTTCCTTTGTGAGTCCTGTGAGGCTCATGCCATTGGCGTTCATGAGTATTCTGTGGGCTCCTACACCGTGCCAAGCTCAACACTAGGCATCGCAGGGGTATGAGGAGGAAAGGTGATCTACGGTCTGGACGAGAAAGGGAGCCAAACCAACACAGCTCCCTGTCACTCGGACACCCACGACCTGCAAATCTCAGCTCCATGGCTCTGCACGGGTCATTTTCCCACCTGCTGTACGCTTCCTCCTCCGTCCACCTCTCTACCTGCCCGGAGAGCCAAAAGGAGCTGGTTTCAGAATCTCCTCTAGAATCTGTATAACTTCGGGCAAGTTACTTGTCTGTTAAAAAAAAGAGAGAGACAATATCTACTGCTCAGATTATTTTCGCCCAAAGATTATATATAATAGTGTTCCGTAAAGGCCTTCGCAAAGTGCCTGGCATAGGGCGAGTGTATAATAAATAACTGCTCAAAGGCCTCCGGTGACCAAACAGCCCCATGTGACTTTCCCTTTCCCCAAATTCCTACAAGAAGTGACTGAGCCACTCCTCTGGCTCTTTTCAAACACAGCTTCTTCCTGTTGCCAGTTTTCCTGCTGTGTGTAGCTCACTGCCCCCAACTGCAATGTAAACAATGCTTTGCACACAGAGGTCACTCAACAAATATTTACTGATTGATTAGCTGGTGAAGAGTAATGAAGGTCTAAAATGAACACAATCGATCTCCCCAACATACGATGAGGCAGTAAGGGCTGCTCCAGAATAGAAAGAGATGAGCTAGGTCCTTAGAAAAAAGGGCTCTGCTCCACGGCAACCACTGCCCCAGAGAACCTAGCCCACAAGTCACTGAAGAAATGAGCCCTAGCCGGTCAGATTAAATGCCTGAGGCCAGCTGGGCAGGGTTGCAAAATTCATCTTTCCCCCTATGACCTTCCTTACTCTTGCTGCTCCTGACCAAGCTACTTATACCATCGGCAGAAAGCAGTGGCCAGGGGCCACACTCCAATGACCCGGAAGATGGAAAAGCCGCTCTTTGCTGGCCCACAACCAAACTTTCTCAAGGAACCTCAGAACAGAGATAACAGGAGAGCAAGCTGGCTTCTCAGCAGGGCCTCACCGGAAAGCATCCCCTCCTTCTGGTGTGGGATCATTCTTCATCCCTGCAGGCCGACACCACGTTCGGCCAGTGCCCTCAAAGGACATGGTCCTGCTCAGGGGGCTGACTCACCCCCACTGTTCAGGGGAGACTTCCGATTTCCACCTAACTCTCTCACCTCTCATTTGCCTTTCTGAGGTTGAGTTTTGCTTTTTCTTTT